CTGGAATGGAAGGTAAGAAAGAGACTGATATAGATGGGTAATATAGCAATGTCAAGAAAGGAGGAAAAACCTGGGAATAGAATGAGGACATAAGTCATATATTATCAGATCAGGTCACCAGGTGGGAAAAAAAAACACCACAAAAGACATCTGAGCAAAGAAAGGGAGCCAGATGAATCCCATATACACAAGAAGGAAGAAAGGAAAGAAGTGTTCCACAACATGTTCAACAATGACTACTACAACCCTGGCAGTTAACAGGCCTCCAAAAGTCACAGAAGAAATAAGACCTAAGTGTGAACAACATCCCACACTCAGGACTAATTATAAATCATCGTCAGTCGAGAAGTTATGATAAAATATTAAAGCTTTTGCAACAAATGCTACAGAAAAAGAGAATCCAAGTTTTATTAATGATACAAATCTCATTAAATTGAACACAGATGAGAAATTTAAGCATGTCTGGTCAATACAGTGCAGGGGAGAAGAATGAGGATTCATGAGTGCAAAATGTAGAGGTAGTCATTGCCCATGGAGATGTGTTGTACTTGTATTAGTGGAGGGGAGCACAAATTCACATGGTTTCACATGAGATTAGAAGATAGCAATTCTGTGTATGGCGGTGAGTATTTATTTTGGATCTTTGATTCTTTTCACAATGATCAATAACTCCTTTTCTCCTACTCAATATTCAGTTTGCATTCATTTTAGCAATGTGGGATGACAGTAAGTATTCAGGAAAGCTAACTCTTCACATCTCTGATATATGTAAATTCATTAAAGAAATCTAAAACTAAATTTATTCTTAATTAACTATAGCTTTGACATTTGTCACTTTTTCAAATACTTGCTACTGAACAAATGAATGTTTGAGGCCATTAAATGTCTTCACCAGAAATCATGACAAATAGTTCTATGCCACACTGGATAGTCCATCAATCACTCACTGACATAATCAGATGATTCTTTGACATAGATATTGTTGGAATTTCATTAAAGTTTAAAAAAAACGGCAACTTTAATTACAAAGTTTGTTTTTTGACTTTCTAGTAAAACTATACTGTCAACACAGGTACACATGTGAGTTGAGCAAACCAGTACTATTAAATATACAAGATACTGGATTGTTTTTGTTGTTGTTAAGCACAAAGCTACATAATGGCCTATCTGTGCTCTTCCCACCACATGTACTGAAACCCAATTTTTAGCACCAAAAGCCTGCAGACTTACCATTCAGCCATTGGAGGTGCAAGTTACAGGAATGACTTAAGTCTAATTACAACATCAATTAAGTTCAAAATAGATATAACAGACATGCCTTAAATTGTAAACTTTCTACCAGTTTGTCAAAGTGTTAACATCAACTTCATCCGTGCTGTTACATATTTAGTACAAGCAAACCAGAAGGATTATGATTCACATTTACAGGGCCACTATAATGCAAATTTAATTTCTTTAACCAAGTTATGAATGGAAATTAATAGACCTACTTATTTACATGCTCTAATGCAAATCAAAGCCAAATTTGGGGCTTTGATTTGATCCCCATAAAAGTATTTTCATGAAAAACCCAGGTTTCCTGAGGGGGTTGGGTGGAAATTTTTACCTTTTTGCAAATCTTGGGGCTAAGATGATTCATTTGGCACCATTTAGAAGATGGTGAGCCCAGCAGTTTTAGAGAAAGGTTTTGGGGGAACTGAGACGATTCATTTGGCACCATTTATAAGTCGGTGCAACCAGCAGTTTAGGAAGAGTTAAATGACATATACACACACACACTGAATCTTATTATACAGATAGAAATAATTTTTCTTTAAAGTGCTGAAAGTCTCCTAAAAGTAAACCTGATGAACACAGTAAGTTATAACATGCATGAGGTAAATTCTGAGCTGTACTAATTGTATGTAATAAAGTAGTCACAACCACTGATTAAAAATACTAATATAAACATAATTATAGAGCAGCTTATACCATTGTTTAAAAACTATTTAGCCTGTCAGTGTTAGAGAAATTTTTAGATTAGTTACCAATGCTACAGATTTGAGCAACATGTTAATGTGCACTTGGTTATTTTGTCATGTGCTACCTTTAAAACAAATTTAAAAACTTCTTCCAGAACCCACACACATGCCTCTCATTGACTTTTGAATGGGGGCCTATGATCATGGCCTTGATTATTCAAATTACTAATATAAACATAATTATAGAGTAGCTTATTCTACTGTTTAAAGATTTAGCCTGTTAGTGCTAGACAATGTTTTAGATTAATTATCAAAGCCACAGCTTTCAGTAACATGTTAATATGCACTTGGTTATTTTGTCATGTACTCCCTACACAAAAAATTTAGAAACTTCTTCCATATCCCTCTCCCACGTCTCTCATTGATGTTTGAATGGGGGCCTATGATCTTGGCATTGATTATCCAAATTATCCCCCATCTCTCCCTCTAAAGACTTATAAGTGCTTCATAATATATAAATAATTATAATAATAGCTTCAGATACAAGATTTACATTTGGAAACAGAGAAAACTTCACATTTATTTAGGAAATATAAGGACAGTAGTCAGAAATGATCAAATAATAAAAGACAAAAAGAAAGTAACAGACCCTACACATACACAAATTTAGACTGAAAATAACCAACTCCTTATGCTTTAAATTACTCCATACATGAAAATATCTCCATTTACTTTAAATTACTTTTGCTACCACAATCTCAATGCTGTTTTAAAGCTTCACTTTATGTCAAAAATTTCAATACTACATGGACTGTGTTTAATCCTATCAACACAGGTCATGGGTCAACAGCCATGTCATCACGTTTGTTGACTCACATTCAAAATTTTATTGAACTACTATTTTATGAATTTATGTCAGTAAGTTTAGTATCAAATTGTAGATTATAATTCAAATTTTAGTATTATATATTAGTTAATTTCTTAACTTAAAAGTAAATATTAAAAAACACACCAAAATACAGTTTTTGTGTGTCACATGGTATGTTGAATACAGCATTGGTTCAAAATACATAAATTAGATGTACAAATTTAAAGTTTATAGCTTCTTATGAATTAGGAAATTAAATTACCAGTATTGACAAGCTAAAATATAAAATAAGAACCTCCTATCTTTTCTATTTTCTTAGATATTGCTACATTTACTGAATCAAACACAGTGGCTCTGCCCACCTTTTTCCATTTATGGAAATACCTGCTTATGTACACCTACTTCTGTCTATGAGGTGTGAATAACCAATCAAAAACTCAGAATGTCCCCATAGTGGCTTTCTCAGCCTTTTTGAAATATTCAGGTGGCAACCTCTTTCTTTTCATGCTAGAATCTAAGCAGTAACGTAAGATTTTAGTGAGCTCGAAATTTCATATTTTTTAAACCCAAATACAGCTCGGTTACTAAGCTTGATAAATTACAGAAGATTTCTATGGTATTTACATAGTAATTTATGATTTTTGGTTATTTCAAAATGTATATATAAAACCTTAAAAAAATTATATAGTTTCACATCCTCCCTGTGCAAAATTTGATAAGGCTTAGCAACCTATGGTAAGCAGCAACTTAGTACAAAGTTCATAAATAGAAAAGATAATTGTTTGCTACGTTTCTTTATTTACTGTTCTATGTTTTAGTAAAATAAGCTTAAGAACTTATTTGTAAATAGTAATAATGTATATACATATATAATGTATTATAACTGAAATGTGACTATATTTTACAAAATACTAGTCCACTAAAACACAGCCAAGACAGGTCACTTTGTAAAAGGCCAGTTTTATGTTCTTAGATATTGTAACACGAGTGCACACGTGCTACGTCATTGCAACTTCTGTAATGTTAGCCAGGCATGACTGGAAGGTCAACATAATAAAAATAATAGATACATATAAATGTATAATGTTATAAGATTTAATCTGTTTAGACTGAACATTTGTGTTTTCATGTTATAATCTGTAGTCATCCTAGAATGAAAAAAGCATAATAATTTATTTATTTCCTAATTTTTTATGGTGGTTATTGAGGTTGGTCAAATTTACCGACCCAGTATTGATTTAGAGTAGCGAAAATAACAGATAAAATATAAAGTTTTACTGAAAACAAACGTATGAAATGTATTTAGGAGGTATTTCAAGATTACACTAATGATATTTGAGATTTTTTGGACGGAGAATAGTTTTTTTTATTCATAACATGAAAATCACTTAGCACTCAGACTAGTAACAAAACAGGCTTGATATATTCACAAACAAATCTTTAGTAAAAATACTTCATTAAAGAATCTGATTTTTTGTGTGCAAAAAGACTTGTAATGTTTACTAAAAGTTGACCAAATTTAGTGAAGACACACATACTGCACTAAAAGTTATACTCTAAATACTTAACGTGCAAATGTATGTTGAGAAAGGATTAAACAGCCATTTCTTGATTGCAGTTATCAAGGTTAGCCAGTCTCGGATAATACACACAATAGAAATATATTCTTTGAAAGCCTATCCTTTGTAAAGGTGAGTTTAAATAATGGAAAAAAATTAATGAATAAACACACTATGAATTAGCTTAATAATGATACTGATAAAGAAGATAACTTTTAAAGTATATTTGGAAATACAAAGCATGTATCATTCAGTTCAATACTGTTTGATATAATGTGACAATGATGGTAAGTGATGAATATTAGATGTCCTTTTTACTTTCATAATTTATTAATCAGATATTATTTATATTTTTGATGTTGTAATGCTCTGTTTTTGGTATCTTAATTAACAAAAAATTCTGTGACAAATTACATAGAAATATTATACTGAATTGGCTGTAGTGGCCTATGGTAAAAAAAAAGTTAAATTTTGTATTTACTCATCTAATTGCTTTACATAAACTTACTGTCTTTTTTTCAATTTATTTTAACAAACCTTGGGAAAATGGCACCATAAAAGTAAAATATTGGCAGTACAATAGAATGGTTAAAATAAGTTTTTGCTACTCACCTTATTTAAAGTAGTTTCTACAGGCTGGAAAGACATGGTCAGTGAAGGATGATCAGATTGGACAATAGGCTCCTTAGTAATGACAGTCTTTAATTTTTCCAGTAAAGAAACCAAACGTTGATGCCTAGGTTAGGTAAAAGAGAAACTTGAAATAACATACTCTTACTTAAAATAAATTTATTGATACAAATATTTTTATCAAGCCTATCTACTTCAAACTTATGATGCATTTTCAGATGTTCGTTTCAAGTTATAGCAACTAAGAACTTATTCAATGTTTACAAATATATGATATGCAATTTAAATTTACATTAATATTTTTTTACCCACAGATAAAACCTGAAATGATAATAGTTTTTAGTACACTTTGGCTCTGATTTTTACACTACACTGACGAGTTATTAATGTACTATTATAACTCTGCTTCAAAATTAAATTATACAACATGAGAGTTTTTTTTTTAGTTACAAAATAATGTCTTCTATCTTTAATAAATTCTCTTCAGCTTTTATAAAAAATTAAATGAACTTCATTCAACAAATTACTAGTACATTTCTTAGGTCAGGTATCAAGTTAAAGCTGTTTGAGATGTCTAATTTGTTCAATACCAAAAACATATTAGTGAAAGAGAAAGCTTACCAAAAAATCAATAACAACTATGCATCAGCGAAATAGTAATGAGGTCATGGCTTGTTAGCATAAAACATGTGTTTAAAACACCCACCTAGTTGTAAACTTTCTGATTGATTCTTAATGTGTGATGGGCCAAAATAGTTTATTTTTATCTGTAATAATATTGAAATTGCACTGGTACTGACTCACTGAATGGTAAATATTAAGTTCCAATATCAACTAACAAATCAAATGGCTTCTTTTACATACAGAGCTTAGAAACTAAACACAAGTTTTAAACTTTTTAGATATGCATCTGTTAATTTTAGAGAAGATAAAACTGCTCCTTTTATTTACGTCCCAAAGTTTTGGTTTTACACCTTCATCAACAGTCCACACAGTTTTATACTTAAATCACAGCTTTCAATATAAAGACAAAATTCCTATATTAAGCACTCCTATGTTGTGTTCTAATTCATCTGTGGAAGGAGTTATGTCAGAAAGATCTACAGTTTGCTGCATTTATAAAAGAATATCTGAAGTCAAATGTACAGAATCAGTCTTACATTTTATAACATAATATGATGGATGATGGTGAACCTACTAAAAATAACTTAAAATACTATGTTCAGCTACAGTAAGAACATGCATATATAGACATTTTACCATAGACAACTGTTTACCCATTCCCACATATATGCAGTAGAATAACATTTGTTACTAATAGTACATTTATTAAAGTTATTCCAGGAACCTTTTCCGAGTGTGTGTGTACATATATTAACAAGATAAAGTTTAAGATATGACAGACACCATAGAAATACCAAAAACAACTCCAGTAAGTTTAAAAGATACACTATATTTCCTAGATAACAAGTGATTTTGAAATAACAGGTAGTACTGAAATGCAAACCAATTTCAGTATGTGCACTCAGTCACTATATCATTAGAAGTCATTATTTTTAAAAATTTTACTCATCAAATATTGACAGTATAGCGAATAAGAGGACAAGCAAAAGGTGAGAATGGATATTTATAATTGCTTTGAGGAAAAAAACTGCTAAAACATCAAGTTAAAATGTTATTATTGAAACATTTAACCTAGTCACCTAATTTTAAAAATTAATCAAACATCTGCATCTTTACACACATTTTAAAATCAAATCTTTATGTCTCCCCTGAATTTCCTTATTTATCCATTAAACTCTCTTTTCATCTATACTTATTTATACCTAACCTTTTCTTAATCCCTGCATTATTCATGATGTCTAGCAGTTTCTCTATATCTTCCATTGGAAGCTGACTCCTTGCATCTTCTGGAGTGTCTGCTAACAAAAGTTCAAGACGTCGACATGCTAGGCTGTCACACAATCGAGCTGTAGTTAGATGGTGTGTTGGAAGAAACTTATCAATAAGCAAAGCTAACAAACTTCCTGACTGGCTGGGATGAATAGCCTCCAAACATCTCAGAGTTCTATTCACAAAGCTTGGCTGAAGAAGCAAAATTTAAAAATTAAGTAGGAAACTTCAAAAATATAATAATGCTATATACACAACACTAACTACGATGCAAAGCACCAGTTATATAAAATTGCACCATTAAATAGGAAAGACTGAAAAAAAGAAATCAATAGTTCTTCTATTCATTTTGAAAATCATGGACTTTACTTTCTCACATTCTCCTTAATTAACCTACTATAATTTAAAATTAGAGGTATGTAAAAATAAAAATTTCTCTCTCTTTTTGTTTTTTGGTCTGTTATTGTTACTATCCAAGAGACCTTTTGCTCAATACCTCAATCACCAGCTGTGTTGGAGCATAATGTTATAAAAATACTGGTGTTCAGAAAAGGTTAGGTTTCAACATAGCATCAATTACGCTTGTATATACAAATTCTGGTATTGAGAAAAGACAGAACTGATAAAACTGAAAATGCTGTATAAATTATGTTTAGATATAAATTTTGGTATTGACAAAAGACAGAACTGAAATACTATTTTTACACAGTTGTAAAGTAATACTTACAATGGACTAATTAAGAGGAATGTGTAAAAAAACATCTGTAATCTGGCATGATTTTATTCATATAAAAATATTAAAAGCAATAGGCATTCAGTTCATTCTATGATACATACAGTTGAATTTGTTTTGAATTTTGCTTTGATCTCTGTATAAAAAATATTTTGATCTACTACACTCTTGCATGAAGTGCTCAAAACCTAGAATATTTATTTTACAGATTCAACAAATATTACACATTTGTTCTACTAATTCAGCTTAATCTGACAACATTTTACATAGTTCCCACACTTTGGGCAGAATAAAGGTCCATGACTTATCCCAGACCTTTTTCTGACCACAACATATTACCTGGCTATATGATCATGTTTGGAGTATATCATTGAATTATTACCTGGAATAATGTGTAAATTGCAAAACATTATTCATTTACTCATAGCCGTGATCACTACCTCTTCAAAGTAGAACTGCTATTGCTACCACTACAGCAGGGAAAATATAGCAGTGCTACTGTTGTTGCTACATATTTATAAATATAGAAGAGATATCACTGCCACTATGTTTGAAACTATCATTTTTTGTGATAATTTTTTTTTGTCAGTCGATAATGTAAGAATGAAAAATGCAAATATATTGGTAAATGGAAATACTTTGTTGCTACAATAACATAATACAGACTTTTCAGAACAGCCTATCCATATTTGTGAATGATGTGAGAAAAGCAACTAACAACCAATCAATCATAGTATTTAAAAAACATGTCAAAAAATAAATTAATATGATGACTAATAATAATAAATAAACTAACATGAAATAATAAATTTCTTGCATGTTACATCCCTTATTATTTGTTAAATTTTACTAATGTTATGTACAAAGCAATGCAACCTCACACTAATGTTGCTTTGATGAAATGCAAACAGAAATAAGGAGAAATGATGTCTGTTTTCCATAAATAACAAGTTCAATTCTGATGCAACAAGTCTACAACAGCAACTGCCTCACATAACACATTTGATTGTTTTTTGTAAGCAAAATACAGTGTAAATATAATTGTCTACAATATATTATACAAAATTATATAATACTAACATATAAATATAATAATATATAACATTATATTATAATATCTATGTTTGGCATTTTCTTCACAAATTATCCAACATGAACTATAAATTAGCTGGTTCATATGAATATCTTGTATTATCAATTCAAACATCTTAATCAAGAAAAGTTTCTGCCAGAATGGTCCAGCTCAGAAATTTAATAAAACATTTAACAGTACTTCTAATCTAAATTTTTACGTAAAAATAATTAATTAACCTTCTACATTAATATTAAATGAAACTAAACATATAAACAGTAAATATAACAATATTATAAACAAATACAAGGAACACTTTTTATATATTTTGTAGTATTACATCACAGATAGCCAGCAAGCCATCACTGCAGATCAAATCAGCTGAGTATGTCAGGTAGCATGTAGCATAGGTGAGCCTAATTAAGTCCAAAACTATATATATATAGATTATTATATAATATAATAATCATATATATACACACACAAAAACTATATAATTATACAAAATATAATTATATACAATATCAACAATGTTGTGAGTAGAGCTTTGCATAGATGTATACTGGAGAAGACTACCTGCAATCACTATAGATTTTCAAATGAAGTGTCTATCCCACAGTCGCTCCTAGAAACATAGTAGTGCTACACAGCTCTAAATATATTCTGTTTAATTAAAATGAGACAAGCAGTGTGTTAAGGATCACAGATTGCACAGTTTCAATATGATCAATCATACTGTTCTTGAATTATTGATACTTTAGCAGAGCACATATATAATAATGTTAGTTTATCCATTTCCCAAATAAGCTGAGTATGTCAGGTAACATAGGTGAGCCTAATTAAGCCCGAAATTATATATATATATATATATATATATATAT